ATCTAGCTTTTTGTGCACTACTCCACTCTCCCCCCCCCCCTCCGGAGTCTCATTACAAACCCAAATAATCAACTCTCAATACTAGCAAATTGGGGAGGAGTAAGTCAAAGATTATTGGATACGTTTTCCTAGCAACAAGAAACAGCACTGAAGTAATATCAATGCTTAGATCATTTAGAAAATCTGTAGATTCTAACTGTTTACTTTAAATATTGTGGGTTTATGTTTTTCATACAACGAAAGGGTCTTATTGCAGGTGTCGATTAATATGGTGATCATATTTTCGATCTAATAGATTCAGATTATGACGGACATAAAAAAATATGGAGTAATTCAATTTTAATTTTAGGCGAAGCTCAGAACTAAGTCTCAAAATTGATCAAGAAAGGATAATGCGCGTGGTAGTTTACTGGACGATAAAATTAATATGTGTAGTAGACTAACATGGTAGTTGAACCGACGACGCAACAAAATGAAATTATATTTGCTTCTTCTCTGACTTATATCGCATATAACATATATTATCATTAGAGAAACAGAAGTTATGTATTGAAGATGTATCTGACACTACAAATAAACTTTTACAGTAGAACAATGTTAAATGATTTCAGTAAATAGTTATACAAGCAACTATAAATGCAAACATTTCCGAAACGGTCACATTGCAGTGAGCGTATAAACTATAAAAATTGTTATGATTTTGATTTATTCATTTAGTTCGCATTTTTTTTAAACACACCATTTTTAAATCACTGGCAATATGTCTCAAATCTGTAACCGTTAGCATTTGGGAGTTCCACACATTGGTTTCTTATAGGACCGCATTGACCAGTTTTTACACAGAAAGTGTTAGTTTTATATTGATCTACAAATGAGAAAATCTGGTTTTGAAGCAATCACAATAATTCTTACTATTGCGTTATTGTCTGAATTCCACTCGAATTTCAACAATAAAATATCAAGTAATACTCAATACTGTTCAAATTCCAATTTCAAAATTCCTATTGTCCAAATTTCGTCTGAGCGGATTGTTCTAAGTATAAGATTTTCCAGCGTCACAGACTGTGGCAGAGGAATAGGCGGAATGAATAAGATGTTCTAGCCTCGCAAACCACTAGAGGCATTTTCAACTGTTAGTTTTCCACTCCATTCAGAGTAATATGATCAATGTGTGCAAGACTCTCGTTTACGATTAGAACAAACCTATCGTATTTCACATTATAATCCCGTATGGGTTACATTGAAAACTTTGTGAATGCTCTATCTATTACGGTTGTCCGGAATCCGTGCAGAAACTATTTTACAACCGAAGAGAATCTCTAAAAGATAATGACTAAATTCATGCTGGCGAATAAGTTCACTGGTGATTTATATGAAAAGAGATGTAAATAGATCCTTGCATTTGCATATGCAGCTCAATCTACACGGTTTCGAATGTACTATGAACCGTATTTGAATTCCCTCATAAGTGATTGTTGTTCTGTTTTAAACTCGCGCCACTCTTTTTTATAATCAAGGTAGGACTTTTTAAACACTAACAGAGTTCACGAATATTTTCGGACATAGATGCTTCCGCGCGCGACACATCCCACAAAATATTTTTTTTTTGTTTACGTCAAATTAATAGCTTTTCAAAACGTCATGAAGAGCCGTTGATGGTGTGAGGACACAAAGGTTTGGACATGGATGTGGTGTGGCTGAGGGCAGGTGCATGCCCATCTACCATTGCACTGACACCTAGCTGCGCCCCAGATCCAAATTTTCACCTACAACTGAGAGACAAAAGCTGACACCTACAGCTCACATCCACATCCACTCGCATCCACACCCTACCATCTACTACTTTAAAATGGAAAAAGTTATTGTAGTTCAGAAGTAACAAGATGTTCTACATGTGATTGCTCGAATTTTTGATTCAACCTGTTAATAAATGAAACAATTTGTCAAAATTTACGTAGCATATTGATACACATCTAGAAGAAAAAGATTATCTTCATTTCTTGACGAGAAACACTCGATATACTATGTTCCTTATTAACTATGATGTGGAGTTTAATCATTTCTAAATATTCACTGCATAAATATTAATGAAGAAATAAGATATATTTCTCTTTTTTACCGCATCTATTTCTCTTTCTTCATTGCTTTCCATGCATCCTGATTCCTACGTTTTTTTTTCTCATTCAAAATTTCAAGACGATTTCGCTTCAAATTCTTCTCACCAAGAAAAGAACGCTTGGTCAAAAGAAAAAACGAATTGCAATCGAATGAAGAGTCAACTGTTACAACCCTTCAATGTAGATGTTATTCTTTCCAACTTACTCCAAGGATATGCTGCACTGTCACAGTAGGGAATTATTCATTTGTCTCGATGAAGAATAACGCTCTAAGAGGAGAAAATCCTTTATGAATTAATATTCTTGGCTCCAATAGAACACACGTTAGAACATCTTTTCTTGAGGCTTTGTGGTGTTAGCGTACGTGTGGGATATCGGCGCGGGAGTAGCTTGTTGGACATTTTCCGTATAGAGTATTCATTAACATAAACCTTACCCTACCACCATTTAATAGCATTCATCCAATCCACAAGAAGAAGAAAACACTTTTTAGTATGCTACTTCGTGCGATTGTATATTGTTTAACTTTTTCAGCATGTTTAAATGAACATGAAAAACTACGAATGGCATTATAATAAAATAAAAATCCAAATAAATTTATTGACGAACAATTTAATTAATGTATGATCAAACTTTAATGTTGATCAACCAATCAATGTTTATAATAATAATGTATTTTGTCAAAAGATTATGGAGACTCCTGCGAAACAAAGAGCATCAGTTGATTATGGAAAATTAATGTTCGTTCATTTTACATATTATTCAAATATAAGAAGGTTTCCAGCAAAGTTTCATGCTCTTAAGAACAAATATTTTAGTGAATCTACTATTAATGAAGTTGTGCCAGTTTTAGATAAACGCAAAATTAGTAATTTTCAAAGACGTTTGAGACACACTAGATTATTAAGTCTGTAACTATTGTATTTGGAATTATTATTATTACAAAAAATGAACTGCATCAGCTTGGTCATTTATAATGATTTATGCTGATCAAATCTTATTGTTTTTAGTTTGTAGTTTAATGTGTATTTGAAATTTATAGCATTTGGAAACAGATACAATTACGTAATATTATCATATATATATACAGTTACTTGATAAGACACTATTACAGATGAAGTCTTTGATATTCTAAAATTTCACAATTCTTTCGATATTTACTATTAGGTGTAGACTTTTAGTAGATATCGAATATATTTTTCCATACAATTATTCTTTTGAAATACCTGGCCAATATCCGCTATTGGTTCGTTTGTATATTATATTCCGTTTGTCGAATTATTATAATTCAAAAATTCAATATTCATTCAAAATTCGGCTAAGATTTATTCTGTTATAAGATGGTATTAAATAACATATGATTATCTGTTCCAAGAAGATCAATTTAGTGTAAATTTTATTGGTATCTTATTTTGAGTCTGGTATTCTATAATTTTTTTTGAGAATGAAAAAAAAAACTGATATAATATTAACTTCAAAGTATTTGTACACGATATTGTTTATGAGATTAATATCCGATTAATTAATATATATTACTTTGATTAGTATATTTATCAAGATGGATTAATTAAGCATAACAACTACTGTTCTCAAATTAAGAAAATATTAAGAATTATTCACGCATAATGCTTAGTTCGATATGTTACCTGATTGTCAATTATCTAAAAGTATATGCAAACAATCAGATACAGCACTAATCAATCTAAAGTGAAATTGAATAGTTGTCAATTTTTTCCTCAAAAATAATTCTTCTTAAATTGTAATATTTTAAGATTAATCTTCCGTTTCGTTTTACTTGCTTCTATTTTTATTCATGGTCATTTTCTTGAAGTTTTGTTTGTTTAGCCTATGCTTAAAATAGCCGGAAGCGCGTCGGTGACATTAACTCTACATTTCTTTTAAATTCTTCTAATTCAAACATACTTATTTATTATTCTATTGTTATTTAATTTTCAACTTAGTTGATTGCTGAAAAGCAAAAGTTGACAATAGTAGATTGAACATATCTTCTTTTTCAAGAGGATAGGTCAGAGTGTTTTTTATTGACTTACCAACTTTTATTTTCCTATATGATTTCAACTTAACTTCAATATTTGAATTAAATAAATGTTAGCACTAAGAGTACGATAAAAAAAAAGCAAGGTTTATTATTTGACAAAGCTGAAAGAATGTTTTCTTGCAAAATAAACGAGTTCTATTCTTCTCAGTGTTGTTCTCGTGTATAAAAACAGTCAAGTAAAAAATTCTCATACGCAAAAGTGTTGCGAACGGATGCTGATGAGTAACACCCCAATCTTCAAAAAATTTTCTTTTTTCACCAGTGGAGTTCCAGCATTTTATAGTGTTCATCAATTTCCAAAAAGCGTCCAATCTGTTCACTCCAAATCCGGTCAACTTTAGCGAAAATCTTCCAATCAACCTCTTCAGTCATTATTACTTCAAACTTGATGACCCGATACATTTTGCTCATGTGATAATTCGTATTTATATTAACCCTTCAATAAATGCCTTCAATCATTCGTAATTTAGACTTATCTTCTACTTTTCGTTCCGTACTGATAAAAGGCTTCCTAATTGTGAATGTTAAAAAAAAATATTTTCTTAAAAAACGGAAGTGTATCACATAAAATGAAAACTCTCATGTAATACTTTTAGTTGGTTGAGACTAATCAACCAATGCAATTGAAGATAGATATTATCAAGATGATTCATTTTTCTTTTTATGTCATTTGTTGTTGTTTTTTAGTCCTTTCATTCTATAGTCTTGTCATTTTTTTTTTCATACTTACGATATTCATTTGGCCTCTACCATCTGTTATTTAACGTCGATCGAATAAATCATAAAAAAAACATTTTTATTTCGTTGAAAAATTCTAGAAAAAAATGGCAAGTTTCTTTCGTGGAGTTACGCAACCAACACCTCTCCAACAAGCTATTGAAAAAGCTACTGATGGAAATCAACCAAATGAAGATTGGGCTTTAATAATGAAAATTTGTGATCATGTTGGAATGCATGAAGAAAGGTATTTCTATTTAAAATTTTTATTTAAAATAAAATATTTCTCTTATTGATTAGTGCAAAAGAAGCAATAAAAATTATTCGAAAACGTTTACAAATAAATCCTGTAACAAGTGGATGGCGTACAATTGGATTAACTCTTACTGTAATATTAAATAATTAGGAAATTTTCATAATATAAATTTTATTTATTTCCAGTTATTAGAAGCATTAACAAAAAATTGTGGAAAACTTTTTCATCTGCAAATAGCACAAAAAGACTTTTTAAAAGACTTTAAAGCAGTTATTGCCCCAAAAAATACTCCACCAACAGCTATACAAGAACAAGTTCTTGGCATGATTCAAGTAAAAATATATTAAACAATTTTTTATTTTAAATAATCATTTCGTTTAGATATGGGCATTGGCTTTTCGTGATGATCCTGATTTAATTAATGTTGAACATTTCTATGAAGAATGTAAACAACAAGGTTTAGAATTTCCACCAGCTGAACCTGAAAATGCTATTAAAGCAGCAGTACCGGCTACAGTAAGTTTTAAAAAATATATTTTAAAAATTGATTTTTTTTTGTTTTGTAAAATCCAGGGAACAATTGAACGTCCTACGCAATATTCACGATCAATGGTAAGACAAAACTATTTATCTTTTGATTAGATTTTTTTTTGCTTTATAGTCTCAACCGGCTACTGGTACGACGCATCGTGAAGTAATTAAATTGTTTTAACCTTTTTTTGTGTAATAAATTATGTTTAGAATCGATCATTGTCGGATGTTTCATCTCAACAAGCTGCTCATGAACATACAGTTTTAAAACAAATGACACCAGAACAAATAGCTAAATTACGTAGTGAATTAGATGTTGTGCAAACTAATGTACAAGTATTTGGTGAAATGTTGGTTACATTGCAACCGGGTGAAGAACATCCATTAGATTTAGATTTATTATTGGTAAAGGATTTTATTAAAAATAATTTTCCATTTTCGTTTGTGACGTTACAAATTTCCTTTTCCGATTCTTCGTCAAAAAACCCAATTTACTGGATAGAATTTACCATTGAGGAGTAGTAACTATTTAGGATAGCAAAAAAAAACATTCAGCTTTATATTTCATAATACTTACTAGTTTTTCTTTGGTAAAATAAAAGGGGACTAGGACACTTGCTTACATGGGTGTAGATGAAGAGAAACCTCATAGTTCTGACATCACAGCCACTTGCTTCACACCTGCGAACAATTGTCCGGCTCCCAATAAAAGTTACGTATGTTCGTAAAATATAATAAAAATTACATATGACTATTCTTTTATAATTATTTTGCTTGTTGACAGGAATAAGCAAATACGAGTAAGTGATGTTCTTTTGAAAGGTAAGTATTTGAGATTGGTTTTGTGGATAATTTAACATTAGAGATATGTTCATATATATCCATAAAGAATAAAATAATCCATTGTTTTTTTTTTTTTTGTTAAAATTCTTTTATCATGTTTTTCACTTTCTCTGCAATGTATCTTGTTTAAAGAATTTGATAATACCTCTTGTTATTTGCAATATAAATATTTTAACTGAAATCCATAAAGATAGGTTAATAGAACGCGACTGAAAATTTTAAATTTTATTTTTTTTCTGCTTCATTTACGCTTCAAAGTATCTTCTATCTACTGACCATAGTTCAAGTATTAATATATAACTATAAATGTCAGAAAAAATGAAACATTTACGCTGAAAAGCAATAAAATGTATACATTATTCCTCTTGTTTTTTTGGCAAATATTTGTGAATCATAGCGCCCATTTCTGAATCACAATACATTTAATCGAGCTGAAATTTTCTTCTACTTATACTAGAGAAACTGTTTAGAGTACATAATTTTAAAATTTTTTAAATATCAAGTACTGCTGAATTTTGCTAAGTTTCACAAAAACAACTTCAGTTAAAAAACATGCATTTTAAAGGTTGCTCTCAGGGTTATCGGGTTTGCATTCGAACGGAAGAAAAACAACAGTACATAAACCAAACGGTTCCTAATACTGGTTAAAAGATTTCATTAGTCCTATCAAACGTATTGTGGCTGAGACACAGGGAAGATGGTTTTCCTCATACAACTCTCATATATTCTACAGGAAAGCATCCGAGAATTTCGAGCTTATGGTAAATTTTCCTGTACTCATCAAGATTTATCAGTCTTGAAATTTTTCTACTGAGCCCCATTCTGCAAAAGTGTTGAAAAAGGTAAAGCAAACCTATTAATCAGAAACTAAGACGTTCAGGATTCTTATTGTGTCTTTTAGTAATATACACAGCTAGAGATGTAAGCCGTCGCCACGACATAAATATGTATATATTAGACATTCGAATGTTTTTTGGACACTCGAGATCAGTTTTCGGGGTTCTTTTAATCTAGTTTCGTATTATAAAGTTGTCTATAATCATTTTTCTCTTTTCGATTTCAACCATTGACGTCGATCAGAGCATTGGTTTACAACTCTATACACAGCCGCTGAAATCTATATCCACATGTTGTTTTTCTCGATTTGCACAGAAAAGACCATTCATTTCTCTTACTCGTGTCGAATAGGTTTCATTTAGATCTGGACCAGATGGTTGTGGAACCAAATTTTTTCGGCCGGAACTGGAACCAACACTTTCTCATTGAGAACGATATCTTACACGATCGTGCAAAACTTGTATCGAATGTCATATTGTCAAGATTCATGTATTGTAAACAGATAGATATGGGCAAGGTCGTTTTGACTCCGTCAAGGCCAAAATAACTGGTCCCGTTCATGTCTAGTTTCATTCTGTTTTTTTTTCTAAAAGAATCACCAATTTAATTTATTGTCTCACATTTTAAGATTCTTTCATGTGTAGATGTGCCTTCATTGAACATTAGATTGGTCGTTTATGAAAATAGACTCATAAAATATTTTCTAGTGATTGTAAAAATCAAGAAATATGAATAACAATAGATGAATGTTCGAAAATAGTTTTTTTACAATTAATATCTGTAGATTGTATACTTAGATTTACTCATTCAATAGTATTCTTTAAATTGTCTAAGATGAAATTTTATCTTTGCTTTTAAGGAATTACATAAAACATGTATACAAATGCAAGCACGTATTATTGATTTACTTACACAAGTTGCTATTGATGAAATAACTGGTAAATGATATGAAAATATTTTCTTACTGTTTTTTTTTATTCTAACAGTTGATCTGTTACGTTATAATGATGAATTTAATAATTCATTAAAAACCTTCGAAAATTATATGCAAGAACGGGAAAGACGAGTTGGTCCATCTCAAGTACCAATATTAAATCAAACAGCATCACCACCTCCAAGTGCAATTCCAACTTCTCAATCATCACCAACAAAAGTATATATTCTCTTTTTTCTTTGAAATTCAAAATCATTTCATTGATTTGTTGTTGTTGTTTTTTTTCCAGACATTGCCTTCACCACGTAATCAAGACAATGAACCAGCATTAATTAAATTTGATGAAGAATCATTAACATTACAAAATAATTTACAACATATGCGTTCGTATTTTATTTTTATTTTCTCAATAAAATAAACAATTTTTTTAAATATTTTAGATATTAATTCAACATCATCTGATGCAATACCAAAAAATAGCCCACAACAGTCAACGTAAGTAATACAAATAATATTTTTTCAAATAATTTTTATCGATATTTTCTTCTTAAAGAAGACATATGAGTATTCATTCGTAAGCAGATATTTTGCTCTTTGTTGTTAACCTATACGTTTCTTTTTTGTGTCCTTTCAATGGAAAAAAACATCTTGCTGCTCTCTTTCACACATGATTCGTTTTTATTTTAATCTTTATAAATAATTTATCTTCATTTTTTTTAGTGCTTCAGTAACAACTCGACCTGTTTCAAATCATCAGGTAAGAGAAGAATTTTTCAAACTAATTAATAAAACAAAAGTCTTTTAGGATCCTGAACGTGGTGTCAAAGAAGTTGAACAATGGTTGAATATTTCAAGTGGCCATGGCATAGATAATAATTCTCAACAACAAGGTGGTACAACACATGCATTCAATGATCTTATAGATAAAAAGGCATCAACTACACCCGAGCAACCAATATCAGAACAAGATATACATATTAATTTACAACCATCATCAACACAAAATCAACCAAATGCATAAACATTAAATGTACATAACAAAAAATAAAACAATAATTTTTTCTTTCAAAATTCTATTCTCTCGCATTCTAATTAAACAGTGTTTTTGTTCTATTATGCATATTGTCACGATAAACAAAAAAAATAAAAAAAAAAACAAATATACTAGCTTGAAAACGAACTTTTAACTTGCCTATCTTATTTCATTTTCTCTTTTTTTTTGTTTTTTCAACAAGGGTGAAACATGCGTTTTATGTACCTGTGCATTATATTTTATCTCACCATGTTCTTCGATGCTTTTTTTTTCTTTCTAGTCCACAGCACAATAAGCACACACATATAAACCCGTCTCCTCTCCCCTTTTTTCTTCTTCTATTTAAGTTGATACAGATAAGCAAATAAGTGGTTCTAGTGTTGTTTCGTATTTTTCGTGAGTCGAAAAGGTGACATGCACGCTGAAATTTAGCACCTACTGTTATGTTCTTTCTTTTTTGTTTCAATAGATTTTATTTTGTAAAATGCCAGTTAAAATTTATCATGACGATGATGCCGATTTGAATATCGTGCGTAGTAAAACTGTTGCATTTATTGGTTATGGAAATCAAGGTCGTGCCCAAGCATTAAATTTACGTGATAGTGGTGTGAATAATATCGTCATTGGTAATATTGATGATGATTATGCTAAACAAGCTTGTGAAGATGGATTTAATCCAGTGAGTATTGAAGAAGCTGTTCGTCAAGGCGATATTCTTATGTTACTTATTCCTGATGAAGATCAACAAACAGTTTGGAATGAAAAAATTCGTGGCAATCTAAAACCAAATAGTACATTAGTTGTTGCAAGTGGATATAATGTTGCATTTAAATTACTTGATATACCTGATGATATGGATGTTGTTATGGTTGCACCACGAATGATTGGTGCTGGTGTACGTGATCGTTATGTTCAAAAAATTCCATATCCATGTTTTGTATCTGTTGAAAAAGATACTAGTGGTACAGCTCTAGCAACATGTCTTTCAGTTGCTTGCGCCATTGGAGCAACACGAGGTAATGGTGCTGTTAGTTCATCATGTCGTGAAGAAGCTGGTATTGATTTATTTGCCGAACAAGCACTTTGGCCTGAAATTATGGCAATATTTCGTGAAGGTTATAATGTTTTACATGACGCTGGATTTTCTGATGAAGCTATTTTATTTGATATGTATTTAAGTAAAGAACCAGCTGAAATATTTGAACGTGCTGCTGATGAAGGTTTTGTTAAACAATTAAAATATCATTCACGAACAAGTCAATATGGTCAATTATCAACAATGAATCGTCATGATGGAAAAGAAATACGTGAAAAATTTCGACGCATTCTACATGATAATATTTTATCAGGAAAATTTGCAGAAAAATGGTCGAATACAAAATGGGCTGCAGAAGAATTAGCTAAAGAATGGCAAGAAGTTGAAAAAGCACCTATTGCTCAAGCTGATCAACGTGTACGAGAAGTTATTCGACCTGACAGAAAAAAATAAATTGCATTTTTTCTTTATAAAAACATTAATTTTTGTTAGTTTGATTCGAAATTATTAAATAGAATAACAAAACAAAGCAATAAAATTAACTTGATTTATCATATACGTTTTTTAGATGGATAAAGATAATCTGATGACGAAAGATAATATCCAACGAATTATTCTTGGTATAGGAATAACTATTTTTCTTCTAACTATTTTTCTTTTATTTGGGTACGTTATTTTAGAGTTTAAAAAACTAATAAAAAAATTTTCTTTTGTAATTTTAATATAGAAAAATACATGTTGTCTTCTTCGTTCTTCTATTAGCAATCAGTTATAAATTAACTGATTATTATGTGTATGTAAAGATTTTATTATTTTTTTTATTTGCTTTCATTAAAATTTTTTGAATTAGAGTGAAATTAAATAATCTGGAAAAATCATTGACATGTTGGCCAAATTTAATTGTATTTTTCGACGTAACTAAGGTATAAAATTTATGATAATAAAAACAAACACAAATAGGTTCTTCTTTAGAATTTAAAAGAAGAACTTCTACGAAAACAAAAGTAATTATTTAGATTATATTATTGTATATTAACTTTTTTATTTAAAGTGCAAATTGTATTTATATGCAAAAGAATCCTTGGGTTCATTTAATGATTTCTAAAGAAGTTGACACAGCTATTAATAACGTAAGTGATTATTTTTGTTTCTTTAATTAAATAATTTAAAATTGTTTTTCCATTTTTTTGTAGTTTTGTCGTCTATGTCTTCGAGATCATATATATCCATGGTTATCGTTAGTATTCATGATTATTAAATTAAGATTTAATTAAAAGAAATATTTCTCTTTTTAGAACGATTACTCAAGATGATAGTCTTGTTCATGAAACAAAACATGTTTTTCGATATCTTTTAGCAACAGTTATTCGTCGTTTACATAATGTAAGATCAGAGTTCTTATTCTTGAACATTCCATTTTCAAGAAATGAGAACGCATCTTAAACTGTATTTTCTAGCTTTTTTTTTAAATATGTGCCGAGATTTTCATAACACTTTTCATATCTTCTTATACGAGGATGTTATGAACTTTGGGTTCCTGCGAACAAGAACTCAAAAGGAAGTTCGGAAATTGGATGTCAGGATACAATTCACTCTCGAAAATTTGGAGATAACTTTCGGAATCTTGAATTTAATCAGAGAATAACCCAAGATAACATGCTTTTTTCTTACTAATGTTAATGCTAATCAACTCGTATATAAATTTATGATTTTATTTTGAATAAAAAAAAAAATAAAAATAAATAATTGCATTTGTAAGAGAAATAACCATATGCTCTCTTATAGAATATTAATTAGAAATGTCAAGATTTATTGTTTCTGAACTTTCCGTCATCAGGAAACGAGAACACGTCCTAAACTGCATTTCCTAGCTTTTTTTATGTGTACCAAAGTGTTCATGTGTCTGTCTATGTTTTTGTGTGAAACATTAGATGTAACAATTACAGACGTCAATTCAATTTAAATCAGTTGATAATGTTGAGATAATTGTCATATAGTATGAACAAAAAGTCTTTCAGGATACATGCAGCTATCTTCTGTCGATCGGAATCTATGAAATTGTCTTTATTCAATTCTCAAATTTTGCTTAAGTTTCATTTTTAAAATAAATTAATTCATGAGTCAATTTCGATATATCAAAACTAAGGATCTGCACGACTAGGATTGCTAATCAAATAGCTAGTTTCAGAACAATGTTTTGCAACATTTTATCTAAATTTTTATATTTATTTTTTTATTTTCAACATATCATCTGAAAGAAAGATACTTCGAAATGTATAAATGCAGATCAATACTATGGTCATTCTACTAGTCTTGAGTGCATATTTTCATCTCACATTTTTTTGTGAGAACGATGAAAGAAAATGTTTTTAAATAAAATATCTAAATGATTTATAAGTTTATCAGATTAACATTTTGTATAAATATCAATAATAAAATTTTGTGATGCATTGACCTTGTTTTCAACCTTTTTCGAATACTAGTAATCATTTTCTCACATTTTTCTACACAAAAAATTGTTCACTATATATTATCTATTTAACTTCAAAATGAATATTAAAGGTTTTTTAAGTAACACTGTTGGAAAAATAAAACCAAATAATTGACATATTAGAGAATAAATTAAAAACAGTAAAATTCATAAAAATGAGACTGTCAATAGAAAGTGTCATAAAACTGCAATCATAATCAATTAATATAAGAAATATTATTCTATTAAAATGACAAGTTTAGTGAAAAAATTCGGGTCGAGAAGAATCCGTAGTCCTCTAATATAAAGATCTTACTCTGTCTTATAAGCACCTCTGGTTCAGAGTCCTAACTGTTGTTTGCAAATGATATCAAGAATTGTTTTTTTGTTTTTGTAAATATTGGAAAAGATAACATTCGAGAAAAGGTTAACATTTTTTTAAAAATTTCTTTTGCAAAGTTAATCTTTTTTTTTTCTCTATAAAGGTTGATCTCAATGTTTTTATTGCTGAACGACTTATTCCATTAATGTTTCAAACATGTGATCGTTATATTCATACCAAAGAAGTTCATTCATCAAGTGATTCAATAGAATTTCTTCGAAAAATGTATAAAGATGATCTTCATATAGCAATGTATAATCGTCGATCAGAATTAAAATATTTAAAAAGTCTTATGCTTAATTTAATGCCAATAATAGCACCAAAATTTATATATGAATGTAAAGGTTCACGTCATTTTTTATGTGAATTATTTGTATGTCAAATATTAATGGATGGTATTGATGCTATTTGTCAACCAGATACATTAAATCGTTTATTTCATCTTTATTTTACAACAGCTATTCAACGTCGACAAACAAATAATATTAAAATAAAAATAACTAATGAATCTAATGCATATGTTGAAATTCTTTCACATTTTTGTGCAATGAATGGATCATTACATAAAAATAAATTAGCTTTAGAATTAACTGATGTTATGTATGAAAAAGAATTAATGAGTCAATTTAGTCGTGTACTTGATCGTCATGGTTCACTTGGTTTATTAAGTATTTATTTAACATTAACAGATATTTTAAATGATATTCCAATAGCTACAGATATATTAGTAAGAAAAAAAATTTATCAACGTTTAAAACGTATTGATGAACGTTATTTAAATCCATTAAATTCTGATGCTTGTATTATTATTAGTAATCCATATAATGATGAAGATACACTTATAGATGAAATAAAATATTTAATTTATCATGAATTAGAAGAAAGTATTAAAGATGAAAAGGAAAAAAAGTCAAATGATTTTAATAAATCATTTAATATTCAACAAACATTTACATTATTATCAAGATTTCATTGTAAAATTTATGAATTAATTGAAGAAAAATATCAACGAAATTTTTTAACAAGTGATGAACATTTTTTTTATATATGTGGTCGTCGTATGGATTCACCGGATTATCGAACTACGAAACAAAAGTATATTGAATTTTTCTTTTGTGTGTGCTGATATTTTTTTTTTAATTTATTTTCGTTCATAATAGTTTTAGTTTTGATGATATAACATCAGATTTTGTACATATTGAAGAGATCAGGTTTGATTACTATTCTATACTATACCCCAATTTTTATACCATAATATATTTCTACGTACATATTTATTTATATATCGAGCTTTTTTGTCTTTTGTTAGACAATGAATTAATATTTCAGTTTCAATAATTTGTTTTTTGTTTTTATATTTAGAAATACAAATGAAAATACTAATCAATATAGTGGATCACATCATTATACAACAACTTCATATCAAGGTAAAAATCGAATATTCCAATTCGAGAAAATTTTACGTCTAACTGTATTCTTTCATTATATTTTCATACTTGTATAAATTCAATAAGGAAAACAAAAAATATTCAAAAAAGCTTTTAGCATCATTACTGCCGGGTTATAATGTGTAATACCATATAGATGTTATTACTCATTGACAGAACTGTTTAATAAGCCATTGGTAGGCGATATTGGATGCGCTCTATATTAGATATTGACAAGATGGTCCGAAACCAATTTTCTCTATGGCTGGGATCAGGACCAACACTTTTTCATTGGAAACGATACCTTTTTATGACCGTATAAAATTTACGCCAAATATCCTATTGTCACGATTCATGTATTTTAAATAGATATGGTCTCGGTTCTAGTTCTGTCTGAACTAAGCATTTTTTCTAACCGAAACCTAGAGGTTATGGAGTCGAAAATTTTCGAACCCACACTTTGACACCTCTGTGAGTTCATATTTAAAAAAATTTTACGATAGATTATTTATCGGAATGGAACAGTGTTATACGAAATGAATAATGAAGATAAATGCAAAAGAAAACTATTGAGAGACAAAATGACATGCTAGTCCTTGTAGGCATTGTCGTATGACAGCTGTCAATGAATTATTCAAATGATACAGAAGTTTATTAATATTTAAAAATTATTTTTCATGGCAATGTCTTTTGTTTAATGACTTAGATTAAAGAAAATACGTTCTTTGTTGTAAAAAACACTCTAGATTGTTATGCATTATTTGTCTAAGATTGAATTTATTGAACTATTTTTTTTATTTTAGAAATGGAAGAAAAAGATGATGTACATCTTAAATGTCCAGAAGATACAACAAGTATATCTAGTAGTAGTGTATGTTAATTTTATTATCATCTTGTGTTTTCGATTATAATTTAATTTCATTTAGTCATTAGACGAAAGAGACTTGAGTACATGGCGTATTCATATCCATGCTGAAGAATTACGTGAAAATTTGAATTCTAATTCTAAATATTGTGCATTGATTATTGAAGTTCAACGATTTGATTCAAATAATGGTATAGATTTATTTATTTTTTTCTTATAAGTATAATAAAATATATCATTTTAGATAATCCATTGATTAATAATGAAGAAAAACCTCATTGGATAGTTGCAAGGTAAATAAAAACAATTATATTAACGATAAAACTAATACCATTTGTTTTATTTTTATTTAGACGTTACCAAGATTTTTATTTATTAGAACAAAAATTAACTGAATTTCATGGAATTTTTTATGATGCTCGTTTACCATCTAGACGATCAGCAACAACAGCACGAAGTCTTGAATTTCTTGCATCAATTAAAGATGATTTTGAACATTTTTTACGAGTAAAATATAAATTCTTTTTTATGCGATATTTTTACTATGAATTTCATTTTAGCATCTATTATCCAAGCCAACATTACGTAATAGTGAATTATTATATAATTTTCTAAAGCAACCAGATGATTTTACTTTACCTAATGGTGAAATTATTTTAGCTAAAATGTTTAAAGTTGTTCCACGTCGATTACGTGTTGAGGTATCATACATTTATTTATTTTGAAAATGATTTCTATATTCGACTTTAGAAAGGACAATATCTTGAACCATTTCTTATATCATTATTAAATTATGCTGAACCAGCTAAACTAAAAGCGACACAACCAAGTCCTGTATTTAATGATATTATTGAAGAGAAGGTATAACTATTCTATATTCACATTGAATAATTTATTCTGTTGTTTTTTGTTTAGCTTCAAAATTCTATTTATGGAAATAATGCAAATATTACTGAACCATTTTTTGAACCCATGATAGAAGAACCTATTAATTCTTGTGATGGAGAACTTGATAGTACTTATGATCATTTAATTTTTATTGGTAAATAATCTTATTAGAATATTTCAAGAAGTTTTATTGTATATTTATAGCTAAAAAAATTTTTTCTGCATCACCATTATTAATTCATTTATTAAATGTATTTCGTGTACCATTGAAAAATACATTTGATACATTTTTTTCATATGCTGTGGAAAATAGAATGGATAATATATTGAATGATGAAGAGAATATTATTCTTGTTATTCGTGCTCTACAAGGTATTTAATTTCGATTAAAAAAGAAGATTTTATTTTTAATGAAATTCATTTCAGATATTATTTTTCCTAACGATGCAGAAGATAAAGGGTAAAAAGCTAAGATTTGAATTTTGAATCAATTTGTTGTTTTTTTTTTAATGATAATATGTATTTAGATCAACTGATTTGGTGAATTTTGAAGATGTTATTGCAGTAGCTGAACAATTTATACCAAGTATGAATATGATAAGATTTTCTTTGTTTTACAATTTACAGTTTGTAAATGTGAATGATTTGAACTGTTTTACAAAAAAATATCAATATAGAAAAGAAGCATTTATTATGGCAAAATAATTGATACTAGACTAATGAGGAAACGTTACCAATTATTCAATAGCTTTTTGCCAGTCTAACGAATTATTGGTAAATAATCATGCTGATTCTAAATATCAACGTGATTTTTGTCGCTAGGTTTGAAGAACTCTGAATTCTAATCTGTTGAGTTTTGTTGACGAAAAAAAACTTCGTAAGGACCTTATCTAACTCAAAGTATTCTTTAGATTAAAATATGGTAAAGGATGATCCAAAAATGCTCAGAATTTGAAGTTTAATCCTTTGTAACTAGACGAATGTTACCCTAAATTTTCAAATCTCTAGTCCTTATTATACGACAGATATATAGGTTCGTACGATACAGAAGACTTTTTTCCATGTCCCAAACTCAAAATAGCGAGAAATTACATTAAAAAAAAATGAAAGAAAAGGTAAAAAGAAAGATACCAGAAAGAGAAAATATTAAGAGAATTATAAAAAGTACACCTATTTAAATATCTTTAACTCTGATTGAACGTATATTAACATATGACAACTTGTCCACCATTCCCTTTCGTCAAATCTTCTTCAACAAATTCTGCTTTTGCTTTTCTGTTTTCGGCATTTAAGTTTTGATTTTTTTCATTTAATTCCATCATGGGATCAAAATTGATGAATTCAATATCGAGAAGATTGCAATGTTTAATCAACAAAATAGGTTATTCAATCAACAGAAAAAGACTAATGATTTATGAAAATGTGAAATATTCTATTGTTCGTCATTATATTAACAGTGAAAATTCAACTCTATTATACGAACTTATATATCTCCTCTATAGCAAGGACTAGAGATCTGAAAATTTATAGTAACATCTGTCTAGTTACAAGAGATTAGACTTCCAATTTTGAGCGTTTTTGAATTTTCAATGAAGAAGAACGAGCAATTTTTTTCAAAACGACCAAGACTTTCCGATCATCCTATATGTGCGAAGATGATGTCTTTATTCTACTTACCTCCGCGTTCTTTTTGAGTTACAGATGAAGTGGAATCTAAATTGAGTTTGGCATTAATTAAATCCGACAGACAAGTTATGATGTTGACAAGAATCATGCTCACTAAAGTTTTTGTATGAAGTGATATAATAAGAAAATAATCACTTTTTCATGAGAAGTGATATCTTCTATAGTCTTATAAAATTTGCATTAAATGTCATATTGGGGTTACGGCCACTTGCCTGCAGAACAGTTGCCCGCCGGACAGATACCCGCAAGACACTTGCCCGTGTGATACGTGCCCGCAATGGACAATGTTGAGGGTGAGGATGCGGGCAAGCATCATACGGGCAAGTGTCTTGCGGGGATCTGTCCGGCNGTGGTATCCTCCAAATTCGATTATCTTACACTAAAGAAGAGAAAACGTATTTTTCTCGAAGTGCATACTGATTTTTTGAGATTTAAATTTTCCACCATTTACTTTGTTGAATCGTAGAGAACTTAAAGTAGTCTTGTTCAATCTAATTTTTTTATAGCATATAGCTGCATGTCTCCTCTTTCGAATGGATCCTAAAAAGAATCATTTGAGTTGATAGAGTTTGAATTAGTTAAATATTTTTATATCATTGGGGGAGGGGGGTCTTATAATTATGAGACGCATTGATTTGAAATTTTTAAAATTTATTCATTAATGGTAATTGACTAAATTGAAACTAATATGGTATATGATAGAGTACTGCTGGATATCTTTAGGTGTGACGTTAGATTGGAAATGAAATCCTCTTTAGTTAAGGAAATCTTTATTTTTGTGGAAATTTAGTAGGGGGTCTTATAATTACGAGACACCCTGTATTTTAGTATAATAATTCAAATTTTATTTTACCGTATATGACAAAATAGATTAATATTTGGATTATAGACAATAACATCAAAAAATATCGCTCGTGTACCTCGATTAATCCATGAATTTCTTTCTAATTCTCGAAGAATTGCCATTGTTGTATTAGCACTAAACAATTAAGAAGATATTATTTATAAACTTATGATTATACTATTTAATACTTTCGAGTAAACAATTGTACATAACCCCCACCACCATATTCAGATACAACACCTGCATGTGCACTTGTTTTAGTCTGTTTAGCAGATGTATAATTCCAACTATAAATATATATTTTAAGTTGGAATTCAAAAGAGTATATAGAACATACACATCAGATGTAAAGATATTTAATGAATTATTACCAAATGAATCTTGATCTTCTTTATCAATCGTATATTCTGCATAACATTCTTGAGTAAAATTTCGTTTAGCAAATTCTTTATGAAGTTCACAAGAATTTGGTTTAACCTTCAATGTAGAGTTTATCAAAAATAAATTATATAAATATAAATCCTTTTACTCGAACTTGTCTTAAGCGGGCAACTCCTAAAAAATAAAACAAATATTTTATATCGAACTATTCAAAGAAAACTTTTGCATATTACCAAGAATTTTATTTTCATTATATATATAACCATAGTCAGTTTTTGGTGTATTAGATTCAATGTTATCAATATTATACAACCGTGAATAGATAGGTCCTTGTAATGCCTACGAAAAACAACAAACATTCAAATGCAAACATAAATAGTTGGATTAACAATAAACCTTCCAAAAATCTTCGCCACTGCTTTGTGCAATATCATTAAATGTATTTCCATCGCCAGTTTTTGAATTTACGAATGCTTCTCTTAGCATATTCGTATAATAGTATGTCGAATTGTTAGCTCGAGTAAAACTGACTGATAAAAAAATATATCTTTTATGGAGTATTAATTAAATGGTTTACATATTTCAAAAAATTAACTGCTTACAAGAAAACATCATCAACTGTTGGATGTTGCTCAGTCTGAGATTATGGGTACAAGTAGAACTCTGCGTTACTAAGAATAACTTAAAACGATTCGGACTTATGGTGTACTAGTGAAGAGTTATGGCTGTTGTACTGGATTCTTTTGTCAGAGCCAAGCATTTTTGGCAATATCAAAATGCAGAGCTTTACCTGTATTCAATTTCCAAAAAAAGGGCAGCCTGCTACGGATGGATGCAATAGTCAAATTAGCTTGAAAGTTAAGCACATCGAGAACGATACGTTTGTTCTCTTTGAAACTTTCAGAAGTTTTTAATGATTATCAACTCTATTCATAGGCAATATTTCAAAATAAAATTCTTCATTTTGATATTTTCAGCAATGCCCTGCTCTGACAAAAGAATTAATAAAACAGTTATAAGTCTTCAGCAGTAGTGCATAAGCTCAAATTTGTTTAACCTATTCTTAGTCTCACATAAATCTGCTCATAGTCATAATATCAGGTCGAACGTTATCCGACAGTTGAGGTTGTTCCCTCGTAAGTAAGTTTCTGTTTGAGTAGATGTCTCGGCAAATAGAAATAAATGGTTTGTTTATATTTCATTAGCCGTTTCATAGAATTATATCAATAATAAACAAAGATTAAGTGAAACAGAAATAGTTTGAAGTAGATTCATTCACCGACTGTACGATTTACTTTATCTTTGCTATACTCTTTGACTATTCACGATAAATTTTTCATACATTCTTAAATTAGCAAGACATGGCAAGCTGCTAGATACAAGTGAATGACAAAGTTTTGTTCTCGATGATATAGAAAGCAACTGAGATGAACGTAAACAAAATCAGCAAAAGAAACGCATCAAACTCAAAACACGAACTAGTACAAATTGAAAAACTCGAAAAGAATTAGAGACCTGCTTTGGAGTTATTTTTAGTAGCAGTTGGAACTGTCTAAATTGCCTATGAGTAAATCAGGTTGAATACTACAGATTTTCTTTGAATGATGAGTTTTGCTCCCTGACATTCACTATGCAAATTGATGTATTTTGAAGACTCGATTCACTTCTCTTCTAAGGACTTTACAGCGATGTTGAAAAGTCGGAGCCAAGATTGCCTTCGATTTCTTCTCATAGGCATCAATTGAATTATGAAAGCATATCAATTTGTACAGTGAATAGGAAAGAATAAAACTTACAATAAATTGTTCAGAGAAAATGCGGCTTTAGCAGTAGTTTTGAATAAGAATTCTTTTAAAGCATATTTTAGTTAATGAGCAACAAAAGAACATTTTTGCAAAGACTTCGACATAGTCAATAGAGTTTTTTCAATACTTTATCAAAAAAAAAATAGGATAAGTTTTCTTCTTCAACGATTTAATAAAAATAAAAATATATTTCGAGTTTAACGGGCAACAATAAATGTTGGTTTTTTGAAGAAAAATAAAATTCTATTAATATTCTATCGGCAAAAAATCGAATACTTATCAACATACTTATACAAATAATAATAAGACATGAACCATAAAGAATAAGTTCTCCTATTGATATAGTATTATTCTCTTCATGATTTCTTTTTTTCAATTTAACTTGAAAAAGAAAAGATCATTATAAAACATATCCATTTATTACTTTCTCACTATTTGATTGAATGGTCGATGAACTTGAATTTGTATCTATCGTCAAAATTGATGTTTCAGATTGATTCTTTTCCATTATATAAAAATTATTTAATTAAGGCGCGAAGATAGACGATTTATTTCAAGAAAAACATTGCTTAAACGATACAACAAAAAGCTAAATGATTGATTAAAATAAATGAAAAATAAATGTGTATATGTTTAACGTCTGTCAAGAAAAAGATATTCATGAAAAGACTAGAAAATATTCACAAAAAAAAAAGTTTTATTTCTTTTTTTTTGTTTAGTGTTGATTCATTTTTATTCCACTCGGCGGTCTTGGTCGTTCATCTTCACTTTGTCCATGACGTAATGATGTATGACTTTGATGATAAGGCTTAGCTGATGCAGCAGGTGTGTCTGTAAGTAAACTTTGTATAGGTGTTTGACGTTCTGAATTGTTTGCTTCAAGTTCATTACGAATCATTTTTTCTAAACGCTCGTGTCTATCTTCTCTACTCAGGTGACTATCCTAAAAGAAAAAAAAATATTCTTTTGCTTGAATTTTTCCTAGTTTATTTTCATTTACTTCAGATATAGTATTTAAAATTCTTGTTAAAGCGTCGCGACGTTTCATTTTACTCTTTTCTAATGCTTCCAATTTTGTTAAAACATCATCAATCTATATTAACAAAAAAAAAGAAAAGTTTTCTTTTACTTTAAATACATGAAATCTTTACTCTTGAAACAATATTTCCAATTGAATATTCCATTCGATCAATACGCCGTACTACAATTGCAAATTCATCATATGTTATACGATTTGCATCAATATTTTCATTTCCATTTTGATCTTTTACATTTAATTGTCTAAATTAATTAAATTTTGTCTTTCATTTAAAACAGTTGAAATATTCTTATTTACTTTGTACCATGTGATTCATTTTGTAGCCCTTTAATATTCATATTTAAATTATTTTCTATTGTAGTAAGATCAGACTTAAAATGAAGTTGTTCACCATCACGAAGTACTCGATCACCATCAACATCATAACGTGAAAAAACATTTTCAATTTCAACATCTGTATAACCACGAGCTTTTAAATCACGACGCCATTCGTCAAACTAAATTCAAATAAATTATTATTATTTTACTTTTTTGATTTAAATCTATTTCACTTACTTCAATAACTCCATCTTTATTAAGATCAGCACTTTTTAATGCATTTTTTATATCAATAACACGCTATAAGAAAAGAACGAAAAAAGGATAAGAATTCGAATCTGAATGCGAATGACAAAAAACTTACGTCTCGTTTAACATTTAGACGTTCAAGCATTTTTTCATAAGATTTTTTGAAATAATCACCTAATTCAAATTCAGATTTTTGTGTTGTCAAATCACTTTTAACTTCGGAATATGTATCATTAATAATAGCCAAAAACATATTCAATAATACGAAGAATACAAAAAAGACATATGTCAAAAAGAATACTGGGCCAAGAATACGATGTGCTTCCAAAATTGCTTAACAAGAGAGAAAAAAGCAAATGAATTAATCATAATGAGAAAAAAAAACACAACTAAAATATCTATTTTACCATCGAAATTAAAATCTCCCAATATAATACGAAATAATGTAAAACTAAAATTTCAAGAAAATGAAATAATTTTATTTTTTCAATACTTTTTAAACTTGCATTGATATTGCAAATGTTTTATAATCCTCAACCATTGTACCAAATAATAAATAACCCAATTGTGCATATGCTAAAAATACAATCATAAACATAACACTGAAACCAAGTACATCTTTTGCACATCGTGATAATGTTGTCGATAATTGTGTCATCGTTTTGTTGAATGATACATATTTAAAGATCTAAATACAAATCTATCCATATTAATAATCATTTATAATGAAGTCTAAACTAAACCTTAGATCAAATCTAACAAATCAATGTAACAAAGTCTTGTAGGATGAATTCAACCTGACGGCGTCTCTACCAGTCTATCTAATATGATTTGTAATAATTAAGCTTAGTATGATCAGTTTAGAGTACTGCAACCTGTACCAAAGTATGGATGTGAAAAACATCACTTGTTGGAGACACAAATTTCATACAAAATTTGATAACATGTGTTTTCAACGCTGCTGTTAAATAGTGACATACTGGATCACATACTTGACTGGTCATTCTATTAAACTATCAACAATGTATTCGAATAATACAACTCACGAGTAGGGTTACCGGGCTCGTGCATTACTCTAGATCAGGTCGCCTGTGATAATATGTAGGTATGCTCAGAACTTCAAAGCAAGGATTTTAGGCTTGGCTATGACAGATCTATATGCAGTGGAACAAGCCTTATAAAAACCGAAAATTCGTAGACATACCAAAAACAGGTGACAATGTTCAAAAGTACCCAAACCCGAACTACAGGGTACTTCCTCGATTGCCCATATACCTCAAGAGACACTTAGGCAATTATTCAAATACACGGTCATTGTGTGACCACCTATAGTACTATCTGATGGGATACGATTGAGTATCTCTAAGCTTGTGAGAATCTGTTCAAGTCCAGTAATATTTTAACTGATAAATCATGAATCTTCTATTATTATTAGAGCCCAACAAGTCTGGGTTTAGAAAGTCTTGGACTCGATGAATGTTGATCATCTTGTTTTGTAAAATGTCTATAGTGACTTACTTTGATCCATGCAAGAAAAACAGTAAATGCAATAATATTATTAAATTGTGTTTGCCAATATGTAAGAAATTCAAAATCAGCAAAACTATTTTGATCTTTTAATAATTCATCAAGAGCTTGTCCAACTTTGATTTGACGATAAATATTAAATGCAATACAAATGTATGAAATTAAAATAATAACTACATCAAGTATATTCCAAAGTGTTTTAAAATAATGAAATTTAAAACGTGCTATCTAAATTATAAGAAATTTTCAGATTTCAGAAAAAAAAAATATTTAATTTTTAACATACTTCAAGAACTTCTTCAACTGTATAATAAACCGTAAAAATAACAAATAAAATTTCACATGCTAATACAAAATAATCCATTGATGAAACATACTAAAATTATAAATAGTTCTCTATTTTTTTTTCTCTTTCGTTCATTTTAAATAATTCTTACACGAATTAATTTTACTGTTGAAAATGATTTTGACGGTACAGCTCCACCTGATGCTGGAAATTCGACAGTTAATTTAATTTGACAAAATAAATTTATATTTGCATTATAAACTGTAAAATCAAGAAAAACAACACGTGTACCACGATCAAGCCATAAATTAGCATTAAGACTATCAAGTTGTGCTTTAGCAGCCTGATGATTTATTGTTAAATCTTGTACAAAACCACCACCATCATATCGAGAAATTAAACCACTTGTTGATGAACCATGAAGTTCCGATGATGTTCTGTAATGCCAACTGAAGGAAAAAAAAACTTCAATGAAAATTAAAACCAATAATAAACATTAATCTTACGCTGATGATGTCAAATTGTCATTTTGTGGCTCGTAACTCCGACGATCTTCTTTATTACTACTGTATGGTGCATAACATTCATGAATTGTTGATCGAAATTTTCTATGAACATTACATGAATCATTTGTTACCTGAAAAAAAAATCATAAATCAATGAATAAAATATTTTTTCGTAGAAAATAAACATATTTACACGAAGTTGTCGAAGTCGAGGTAAACCGAGAATTTTATTTTCAAATAAAATATAACCATATTGATCATCTGTTAAGTTTTCACCATTATACCATTTTTGATTAAATAAACCATCGATAATAGGTCCACTCATAACCTAAAAATCTCTATTTGTTTAGAAATAAGTTGTAGAAATTTATTCTTACATTCCAAAAATCTTCAAAACTTGCGATATCATCAAATGCTGGTTGTGCGCCAGGACCTTGAACTTTTTGTTCAGTAAGTACTGTACGTAAAACCGTAGTAAAATAATATGTTTTCGTTGATGTCATTCCAAATGTAACTTTAAATAGAAAATCAAGATTTAAAAAAATATTCATTAAAAAAAAAAGTAGAATGTGTTTTTTTAATTAAATTAACACAATGTGGTTCTATCATACATTTAAAAAAATTGAATCTATAATGAGCGCTATGCTTACGAGGGAACACTTGCTACTGTCGAACGTCGTTCGATTTGATATTATGGCTACGTGTAGACCTCTGTAAGACTAAGAATAACCTACAATGAGTCGAATCGAGCTTCTGGAATTTTTTGAATAAAACTTTCGCGATTGATAAATACCTTGTTAGCGGTAGTTTTACAAGCGAATTTCCAGCCACCAGTCGGATCCGTGGTCTACTGCTGAAGAGTTATAAATGTTTTACTAGATTTGTCTGTAGGGGCGAAGCATTGACGAAAATATCAAAATAAAGAATTTTATTCTGAAGTATTGCCTATAGATAGAGCCAACAATCATTCAAAATTTTCAACAGAACAAATGTACTGTTCTGGAGATATTCAGTTTCCAAAAACAAACAGCAGCTTACTACGAAAGGATGCAATAGTCAACTTCGCTTGAAAGTTGAATATGCTGAGAATGACACGTTTGTTCTCTTTGGAACTTTGAATGATTATCAGCTTAATATATAGGCAACATTCCAGAGTCAAATTCTTCATGTTTGATATTTTCAGAAATGTTTTACTCTGACAAAAAAACCTAGTAAACAGTCATAACTGCTCGCCCGTAGGTCATAGGCCTAAATTCTTTTCCGCTGTTCTTAGCTTCACAGAGATCTACTCATAATCATAATATCAAGTTGAATAGCGTCCGGTTGTTGGGGATGTTCCCATGTTAGTTTTGCATACTATGATTTCGGATCTAGAATGGTATGTTTATAGATTCACAAAAACAAAATATTATTTATAGAAAACTGATATAGTCTGAAATGTGAGAATTTCTAAGTTTTATATTATAATTAACGATGTAAATAGCGTGACTACATTAAATAATTCTCGTTCTTCATTTTTTATTGAAAATTATATGGTAAATAGTTTTCTTTTGTTGCTATAAAAAGTTGAATGTCGATAAAAGAAAAATTTCTTGTGTACTTACTTATGCATAAAATAGTAATGAAAACCAAATAGATAATAAGTTCTCGTAATGTTGTTTTCACATATAAGTCTTTGTTTTTTCCAAGATCTTTTTCTGTTTGCCGTGTTGCCCAAAGTGCTAAATTTTATAAAAATCTATATTTAAAACAAAAAGAGCAAGCAACTCATATATTTACATCGAATACCACGAAGAATACTTCGACCAATGTTATTGCGTGTGATCGGATCATGTCGAAATGGTTCTGAATGTGAACGATTCTTTTTTTCGTCATCCGGTTTAACAATAAAAATATTTGAGCCCATCGGACTTGGTTGACTACTATTTCTTTCTCCTGTTGGTTCTTCATCAAAAGCCGAATTTGTAGACGAACTCGATTTTGTATCTTTTTTGGCACTCATATCGATACTTACTCTATAACACTTGTAGGTGTAATGTTTGAAATTAGATTTCTCACTGCTACTTCTTTTATGTTAACACATACTCGATCTCCTTTGAGAAATGTCGTTTCTCTACATGACAATAAATTAGTTTTTTTTGTTTTTTATTTTCTCTCTCTCCCTCCCTCTCTCTCTCTATTTTTCATCTAACACTTTCCCACCTTCGAGTGCGTCTTAATAATATAAAAAAGGCACCATCAAGAGAATATATAAGAAAGAAAAAATAAATTATTTTTCCAAAGGTTGAAGATAACTTGTGTTCAATAAAACTACATCCGACGTGTTCAAGTGTTGACGTCAATAGAAAATGAATGTGAAAAAAATGTAATTCTGTCAATTCCTTTGTGTATTTTTTGAAAAATATTTATCGTGATAAAACATCATGAAAAAAAATTATTCTTTTCTTTTTTCTAGTGTTTGCCGATTCATTTGTTTGTCGAGTACGGAAAAAAATAGATATTTTAACATAAATGGCTTGTTAAAAAAGTGATATTGACTAAAACATTCTCTAGTTTAATGTTGCATAACTAAAACAAGATATTTCAAATCGAAAATAACACAAAAGCCCACTGTTTGAAAACTTAGTGTCTAACGGACATTAAAGCATTTTATATATAATAAAAAACAATATGATGTAGATGCGTTTCATATCCTTGAAAAACACTTAAACTGATTGCTTTTTATTTCCTGTAAAAATTGCAACCCAGAAAATAATAAATAATGTTTAATGTTTTATTTTTTAATATAATCTCGTTTATTTTAAGTTAATTGATTAAATAATATATGTTAAGATTCTTGTTTTTTCATGCTCTATAATTTAAAGAATTTAATGATTCATTAATAATTATCAAAGAAATACTTGTTGATAACGGAATGCTACTTTAATATGCAAAATAAATCCTATTGGTATTTCACAAAAAAAACATGCAAAAGAACGGATATACATAAATTTGCAAGTCAATATTATCCTTTATTAAAGGACAAGACACGGCCAAGATCAAATAAATTTATCAACGAATAGATAAACTAGAAGTTTCAAAATGTACGTATATTCAAAATAGTACGAATAGCAATGATTAAAATTGCAAGTACGCGATAATCATCGTCTGATCAAATATTCAACATGATTTTTCGAAAAAACGAATTGATATTTATTTTCTATTAAAATAAAACTATAAAATATATAGAACGATACAACTTAAGATAAAAAACTTTCAACCTTCTTTTCTCCATATGTTAAGATTCTCCTTCAATGCTTCCTTTATTTGCATGAGTACATCGATTTTATTTCAAAAGATAACGTGAAGTGTTTGTATGATGCAATATCATTTAACCAATTTTGTGGTCAGGTTTTTTTTTTTTAACAGAGTAAAAACTGAAAAAGAAAAATTGAATTATCTTCTTCGTATCTTATTGGAAATGAAAAGAAAGAATGAGGTTATTTCTTTATCATATGTAAATACAACGAAGTGAAATTTAATCTCCACGTCCTCATGGAATAGCATACATGTAAAGGGGACCTATGAAATGAATTATGCGCTTGATTGCTAATGTGTATGTATTCTTGTCATCGTCAATTTATTCTGTCTTTCAACTTTATCTTTCGACTATGAATGGAACAACAACAAAAAAAAAAAGTTGTCCCTTTTTATCGATTGATGACACAAAAAAAAAGAAAGAAAAAAAAGAGAAAAAGAAAGCCAAGATTTCGTCGTTTTACTATGAATCTGTTTGCTTTTTGTCTTTACTTTTTCTCCTCTTTCGATCTCTTTTTCGTTTTTCAAAATTTATCTATTTGCTTTACGTGTGCTTATATGATATGCGTCCATCTACTTGTGGTTTTGTTCTAATGCTTTGAATTTTATATATGCATCTCATCATGTACAGATCATAAAAATCATTTTGTACTATATTATCTCTTGAACAAAAAAAACTACTAGTACTATTTTAACATTTACGCTTATGCGTTACATCATTTTGTTTTACTAAGGTATGTGTATGTGATGAACGAATATAGATGTTCTATCTAGGCTTCTTAGTCTTTCAAAATAGGTAGTCAGGGAAGAAGAAAAATAATGTTTTCAAAATCGAAGATGTTGTGTGACGTATAAGTCACACAAAATACCTGCATATTAGCATTGAAATGTGAAGGTTGAAGTTATGATGAAGTATAACCTTATTCTATATTAGTGTTTTGTTCTAAATTCCAAGATAAACATGTTATATTGAAGATGCAGGTAAGAGACAAAAGTGTAAGTGAATGTGATGCAATCATTATTGCAAAAATGTGTGTGTGTGTATGATGTGATCATCTTTCATTCTCTTTGTTTCAGAAAAAAAGGCGAAGAAAAGATGATCGTAAGTATACAGTTAAAGACGAAAAGAACAAAAGAAATCGATTATCCTCAAGTTTTTTTAACGAAAGAAGAGATGACAGAGCGAATAATAGATACATCTCAAGCACGTTTCAATGTGATGGCATTGACTTCTCTTTATGATGAGGAACAAAAGAGATATACTTGTAATAGTCCTTGATTAATAAAACTAAAAGAGCAATAAATCGAGTCACGGATAAGATAGAAAATAAAAATATGTACCAAAGTAATATGTAAAATGATGTGTAAGTAAGAAGTTCGTAGGTCAAAAAAGACAACTGATTTTTTTGTGTTCATTGAAAAAAGCATACTTTTATTGAACTTGTTTTTTATTTTGGATTTGGTAAATCATCAAACAATATATCATTATGGATATATTGGACTTTGCAAAGAAATTAAGTGCTGGCAAACATCATTCAGCACGTAATGATGATGTATTTATTGATCGACTTAATCATAGATATACGGTAACAATGATTATAGTATTTGCAGCTATTGTTACAACTCAGCAATATTTTGGTTCACCTATATCATGTTGGGTAAGTTACTTGATTTCTATTTTATCAACTGATTTCTTTGATCGATTTAGGTGCCTGCTCAATTTACGGGTGGTTATGAAAAATATGCTAATGATATATGCTGGATAATGAATACATATTATGTTCCAATGGAAAATGATATACCACACGTTGAAACAACTCGATATGAACGTAAGAAAATTTGTTTTTGATTTCTACTTAGTAAGATAGCCTTTTTTGAAAAAAATTGTAGGTATGCTTAAATATTATCAATGGTCACCATTTATTCTTCTATTTATGGCACTTTGCTTTTATTTTCCACGCATGCTTTGGAGAGCACTAAATAATAAATCAGGTTTAGATATAGAAAAATTAGTTGATGCAGCTATGAAACAAGAACAACAAGATAATCCAAGTGAAGAACGAAAGAAAACAGTTGACTATATTGCCAATTCGATACGTGTGTATATTGAAAATCGTTATACGTCTTCAAAGGTACATCATTCTCATCCGCAACGTTTTCCTCAAAAACTTTTGTATCCTCTGACATTTTGGCGTCATCGTCATTTAAGTGCATACATAGTTCTATTATTTACATTTGTTAAATTCCTGTTTCTTATCAATTCCTTAGTACAAATATTTCTTTTAAATGCTTTTTTGGGTAATGAATACCATTTATTTGGTTTTGAAGTCATTGATAAATTTATTCGTGGTCTTGATTGGGGTGAATCAAAACGGTTTCCACGTGTTACATTATGTGATTTTCATATACGTGAAGTTGGTATTGTACATCGTTATACAGTTCAATGTGTTTTACCAATTAATTTATTCAACGAAAAAATCTTCCTTATACTTTGGTTTTGGATTTTAATCTTAGCCGCATTCAATATCGGCGATTTTATATCTTGGCTTTTACGCATTATACGTGTTGATAGTCGTTTTGCTTATATACGACGAAAATTAGCTATGCGTACTGACTATAAAGCTATCAATAATAATGAACCTAGTGGTCTTGAACAAGCAAAATTGAATGAAAAAATGATAACTAAAGCTTTTGTTCGTGATTATTTACAAGAAGATGGATGCTTTGCACTTCGACTTTTGGCACGTAATGGACAAGATATTATTGTAGGCGAAATAATTGATAGTTTATATGAAGATTATCGTCAAAAATATCATTCTCACCATATAAATTCTGATCGTTTAATAACTAATTCAAATGTATTATCGCATATTCCTCAACGCACAACACAATATCAACATACAATGCCTGCAAAGTCAACATACGAAACATCAAATAATGATATGAATGGCGAAGTTTAATGGAAGTAACATCATGATGACATTGAATCTCTTGTCTTATGCGATACATGTGATATCTATCTATCTATCTATCTACCTTATGTTCACCACAATTATAGAATGTAGATCAGTTTTAAGAATGTATACAAATTTAGGTACAATATATTCAATTGATATGTACCAATTTCTTTTTATCTATTTGAAATTTATAAATGAGCAAATTTTTCTTTGTTGAATTTATTAACACAAATAATTGATTGTCAACAAATTGCTTTTTTATTTTAAGATTTCAATGATGATACGTATGATTAAGAATCATATCATTCTTCTATTGACATCTGAAACATAGACGACACAATTCAAAAGATGATACCTTGAAAAAAAAATCACATCTAGGTTATAGAAGTTTCACATGTCAATTGACCTTCCTTTTTATTTTCATTGACATATTTACAAATTGCTGTGTTTTGTCTAGGCAAATAGAAGTTTTAAGATAAAATACAAATTTAGTAAAAGAGACTCATTATAATTTTTTCATTGTATTAATTAAAAAAATTATTCAAAGATACTGTTTAGAAAAAAATAAAATCTTCATTACATAAACTCTCTTGTCATTTTTAGATTTTCGATAGTTTATCAGTCGAATATATATATAATTTATCGAAATGAAATAGTATGTGATCAAATACTTGATAAATATTTTGCACGAAATATATTTATAATTTCAAAGAAAATTGATCCCATAAATAAATTACTGAGGTTCACTACTTTATTAGAGCAATATGATTCAAAAGCATACAAATGACATGGAAACGTTACATTGAATTTCATAATTATCCTACAATGAAAAACTATATTTTCAAGGTTGATATTTCATTTCTTACTTCCAGATAGACATAGGAATTATAATAAGCTCATATTATTAAAAATTTCTTTTAAAAACCTATATACTTAGGGCAGTCCAAAAGTAGTGGCGGAGGTACTTTAGTTTCTTACAGAAAGCTGTAAAAAAATTTCTTTTTTTATGAACAGATAGAGCGTCTTTCGCTCTGCTTTTCTATGCTATTTGATCACTATTCAACTGGTATCATAATAATAAAATTTCGATAAGATCTGTTTCGTTCGCATGTTTGCTGGTAGCATGAACATGAATGCTCGTGAGTATTTTTGAATAAAGTTTGATAGAAACAAGGTAGAAAACTGCGATTTTCACTGTTGGAAAGAAGAGATGAAGATGCATCGAACCATGTATTACTGATTTTTCTAACTTGTTTTTTATAAGATTTTCAGTTGACCTTTTAAAGAACAAACCTATCCTGTAAATTATTTACAGTGAATTTCCAATAATAAGGTTCTCATTCAAACAGCTAATTGCAGATATACAAAGTGCGAAAGACTCAGATGTTTAAGTTCAACTATTTTGAGATAATATGTATTCCAGACGGACGTCAATTAAGATTTTTTATCGATTTTCTTTTTTCATAAAACAGCATTTTCCCGACGGTTAGAGAATTGAATGAAAAAACTTCAAAAATAATATTAGGAAATCAGTAGTATATAGTTCGATGCGTCGTCATTTCCTCTTTCCAGCGGTGAAAACCACAGTTCTCTATCTTGTTTCTATCAAACTTTATTCAAAAAAATACTCACAAGCATTCATGCTACCAGTACATTTGCGAAGAAAACAGATCTTATCGAAATTTTATTATTATGATACCAGCTGAATAGTGATCAAATAGCATAGAAAAATAGAGCGAAAGATGCTCTATCTGTTCATACAAAAAGAAATTTTTTTTAAAGCTTTCTGTAAGAAAATAAAGTACCTCCGCCACTACTTTTGGACTGCCGTAAGTGTATATTTTAATAAACAAATAAAAATTGTATACGTCTTCATATATTTATTTAACCCCTCGTCTTTTTTTTTTATTTACGCAACAGCAAAGAAATATAACAAACATACATATACGATATTCTTCAATCCACTATCTCACAAACTCAAGAAAAAGAACACAAATGCGAATATAGATAACTCCGACAAAAAACAAAATTTGTTTTTTTTTTCTTTTAACACTGGTACGCATCGACTAGGAAGAATAATACGCGTACATTATAAAAAATACACTGCCCCCAATTAAAAACATAAAATCATTCACGATAGAGAAGAAGAAAAAGAACAAATGACCAGAAGAGACGACAATTAAAAAAAAGTTTCTTATATACATATACATATTCTTGGATACATAACAAATAATAAAATACAGCTCATTCTTGGATTCACCTAGACGAAGAAAAAAATATATATACGATTGCGTCATTCTCACAAAACAAACAACAATAATAATAATAAAACACAATATATTGCGCTACAAGAAATCACGACAAAAAAACAGAAAACATCAATCACAAGAGAAAGACTTGCTTTGGCTGTTCATCATGATCATTGATTTTTTCCTTTCACTTATTAATACTGTTCGAGTTCTTCAATGACTAGTAGTTAAGCATGAACAGGTGATGATACATTTGTAAGTAAATTATGTGTTGATTGATGATGATTTTCTTCATCATCTTCATCATCCACATCATCGTGTTCTTCATCTTCATCATCATCTAGGTCATTTAAGTCTTCTTTTTTTGACATATTAACAGGTTCTAAATCATCATCATTTGATGAACTTTTTTCATTGGCTGATTTAATTATTAATTGAGAACGATTTATTGGTTCTAATTTAACTTTATTAGGTATAAATATTTCATTATGTTGTTGTTGACTTGTTAAACAATTTGAAAATAATGGTTTTGTTACTGTCGTTGTTGTATTTGTTGAATTTAATGTTGATGATGATGATGATGATGATGTTACATTATTATTATTATTATTATTATTATTTGCTGTTCGAGAACGATGACTTGAACGTAAATGAGAATACCAATCTTTAGGTATAGGAAATGTTTGATTACATAACTCACAACGATGTGGTCGTGTACCAGAATCATGTGTTTTAACATGACTATTAAAATTACCTATCGTTCTATAACTCTTTAAACATAATGGACATGCATATGGTTTTTCACCCTAAATTAAACGAAATTGTTATTAAGACATGTTTTTATTTGTTATTTCAATCCAAAGCAAAAACTTGTTTTATCAGACATATGTTAAAGTTTATTGAAAAATGTAATATTTCAAGAAAACAAAAAGTCTTCGTTCGTGACTAGAACTTATATCTATTTGATTTAATATTATGGATAATCAAATAATTTACCATTTTTTTTATTTTCGAAGGTCACGAATTAAATCCTTATGAATATCGATTTATAGAATATGTTTCTTTTCTTCACATATCTTTACAAAGAAATATTATAAACCTGATACGATTATTTATATCAACTTAATCAAATATGCTTTTAACATTTTTTTTCTCTTATCTATCATTAATTTCATAAGTATCTTAATTTATAATGAAATATTTCTATAAATAAAATAAAAACTCATATGAATATAGTTACTGAATTATCTTCTTTTTATTTTCGTATATTCTAAAATCCTTAGTTCAATTTATTTTTATTTGAAACAAAAATATCGCATAGCAATAATTTATTCTTCAAAAAGTATTTAATTACTAACTCTATAGATATTTAACTTTCACTAATTATTTCATGTCTATACATGGCATTCTTTTAACAACAAAAAAAACAAGCATCTGGAAACCAACCATCTATTCGTATAATTTAACTCAATATAACATTGAAGAACTAATCAATTTGCTGAAGTACTAGGAAATGTCAAGATAAGAGAAAAATGTCAATCTAATCACAGTCCTACTCTATATTTAACTTACTGTATGAATGCGAACATGAATTTGTAGATCACCTGAATTTGTAAAACGTTTTTCACAATAAGTACTAAATAAAATGAAAAGTAAACAAAATTATAATTTTGTATTCTTGAAAATATTTACCAGGGATATGGTTTGTCATTTGTATGTCGTCGAACATGAATTTGAATATTTGTAACAATTTTTTCACATAGACTACATTGGTATTTTTTTAAATTACCTAATTGTTTAGCCATGAAAATTTGTTTTTGACCTGTTTGATTAATAGCTGTTATCGTTAAACCTTCAGCTGTTGGTGTTGCTAATATAGATGATGGTAAATTTTTATTAACATTTGGAATAATTGCATTTGTATTTTGTCGATTTATACTTGAACTTGTATTTGAACTATCATTACTTGCATCACCAATGGATAATTCATCTTCATCAATTGTAGGTGATGGAATTGTTGAAGAAAGTATATTATTTGTTGTCGTTACTTCTAATGTTGATGGTTTTGTATGACGTCCTCCAAGTGTCTTCTTTGAATCTTAATAAAATATGTAAATAAATATTTGTTGAAAAGAAAATAAAAAAAAAGGTTTTTTTCCACAGCAAACATGCTGTGAGATATAGGCATTATTTTCAGAACTCATGCGCTCTTACCTCATCCTTTATAATTATAATAAATGAAAGAAACTGATTGAAAAATGAAAAGAAATACAAATTTCTAAAATTAAAAAGCTTACTGTGATTGGAATTAATATCATTGGTACCGTTGGAAAGATTTAAACTATTATTGCCAACATCGGTAAGTGCATCCGTTCCCTATGAATTAAAGAACAAAAAATTCTTTTATTGATTTTCTCCACGTATTACGTACAGATAATAAGGAAACAGCAATACGTTCAATATGATTGCCTTTCACCGAGTTGAATGGTCGACTGTTCGAAGGAGTTGAACCGGATATGGTTGTTAAAGAAAGTGGAGTAGATTTATCATTAATTGGTATATCAGTTAATATCTTCGGTTTAAGAAGATTTATAGAATTGTATGACTCGTTGGTGGATGTATCTGGATCATTTGTTAAACGTTTAAATTTTTTCTTTGGATTTGTTTTTTCAGATTCAATTATTTGATATGGTTTTCGTCGAGGACTTGTTCGTTTAGTTGGTAATAATAATGAAGTTTTTGTTTCTTGTTGTTCATTATCATCATCATGATTGTTATGATCTGGTGAAGGAATTTTAACAATTAATTGCACACCACCAGTTGCTTTTTTTGTATTAATATGATTATTTATTGTTTGATCAATATGTTTTGGTGCACCTTTACGTTTTGATTGTCGTTTTGGTATAATAATTTTTTCTTCTTCAGGTTGATCTTTTATTTCGGATAATTTTTGTTGTTGATTTTCTTTAATTAATTTTTGTGAAGAATTTTGTATTTGTTTATCTAATTGATAATGAACAATTTGAGATGTTTTACGAAATTTTAAACGAAGATTTTTTTGTGTTTGTTGAAATGTTCGAAATGCTGTATCAAGTTTATTAAGTGATGCAGCACATGCACCACAAACAACATGAGAATAATGATCAATAGCATTATTTTCATGTATATCATTCTCATTTTCAGGTAGGCGAATACATAAATAACGAACAATAAGATCACGATAACGATAAGGACGTCGTTTATATATATTATATATACGTTGATTATGTTGTGAACACCATAATTTATGATGCGAAGTTGATGTATCTTTTAGACGTGTATAACAAAGACGACATCGATCTTTTATACTCGTCCGAGTGGCCATTTCTAAAAACGCAAAAAAATCCTTATGGAATTTTTCGAATGTTAAACATTCTCCTATTGCAATTCATACATATATATATATCTAAGATGAAATAATTCAATTATTTTTATTAATAAAATAATCAACTCATAGACAATATGTACGAGAAAAAAACAAAAGAATGAGTTGATAAAAACTTTTTTTTTCTTGTAGCTTTCCTCAGGTAACTTCTTTTTTTTTTCTCTTTCCGACTGACGACAAACTTCGACTGCACATTTACACACTCATATATATATATATATATACAGACCGAAATAAGATATAGGCACATAGAGAAAGCAAAATGACGTACGGGCTTTTTTTCTCCCTCTCTCTCTTTTTCTATCTTACTATCAGAGAAATCTTTTTTCTTCTGCTCAGAATTTGTGCATTAACGATAGTGACAAGAACAGCGGTAGTCTTCTATGCTTATTTGCTAGCGCGCATTCACACATTTCTCTCTAGTCCTTCAGGAAAAGTGTGTGATGAAAAAAAATACGTATAGAGATAGCAAACAATAGAAGGTTTTCATTGGAGGAAAGGGGGGGGGGGAAGGTTATCGTGAACGAAGAAAATTTCTCGTCGAACCTACTTTTGCGCGAGTATGAACATATTTTTTATGCGTGCTACAATTATCACCAGAAGAGAGAGAACGAGAAGAAGAATATGCTTTTGACTCGTTCATTTCTCTTTCGTTGATTCTCATGATGATGATGTTCAAGACAGTTCTTCTTTTTTTCTATTCGGTTTTTCTCTCTCTCTCTCCTTTTCCTACATAACGCAGAGAAAGAAAAAAGACAGGCAATTTTGCGAAGGACGGCAAGAAGTGTTTGTTGGTGCCACGGTCAGGATTGAACAGCACAATAGTAATGTTCCTTTCTTGTTCTTCTTTTTTTCTTTTTCTTTTTCTACAAAAACTCCTCCTCTTCGTTCTTCTATTCTTCTTTTTTATCTTATTCTAACCATCATGTTCACAATGGCGTGTATAATACTTCTATGTGCATATTTCCAAGGTTCTCTCTTCTTCACTTGATTTTGTCTAGCTCACTCACTGAAGTGAGTGAAGAGAAAAAGAAGAATGACAAGAAGTATTATAGTTGTATAATATATATATATATGTGAATGGTTTTTTTGTCTTTGAACATTCGGTACTTTTCTCAATTCACTGATTGTCTATGTGCATGTGTTCAAAAGAGAAAAAAGAAAACTTGAATTCTAATGAATATTCTTTGTACTTCTCGTCTCTGACATACTTCTTTCACTCAGAACAAAAACGTTCAACATGAGAAACACACATAGAGAGATGACAAAAAGCAAGACGCATAAGCAAAAAAAAAAGGCAAATACACGCACACGCACGCACAACACCATCACGGAAATGATGTATTGCACAGAGGGGAAAAAACGGAGTTATGTTTGTGCGTACAACGAGAAGAAAAAAAGAAAAAAAAGTAGCGGAAAAAAAAAGGAAAAATCTAGCTCAGACTGACTGATTCAATGGGGATGAGAGAATAAAAGCTTCATCAAACCATTTTCGCTTGATTTGATATATAAAGAAAAATCTATTATTCACTGAAAACTGTTTTATTTCTTCGTATCTATAAGTTAAATCTATCGGAGATTTTTATTATTAAAGAATCTAATTGAGTTTTCTAAAATTAACTTTTAGAAAAATCAAACCATGATCAATGAATATACTTAATCTATACCCTGAGATAATAGTTTTTTTTGGTTTTTTCAAAATACAAAACAAAAAACATTTGAAAAGAAAAAGTTTTTCCTTATCTTTGATATATCCATAAACAATATGTAAGACATCAACATTTGAATATATATATATATAAAGAAAACTTTCTTCTCATTTATAAAGATCTACTTACTCAAGACAAAAAGTGTCCAATTGCGTATCGTGATTCGCTTCTTCTGTCAAGGTGATGAGAAAGACTATGCATAACAAAAACTCTATGTTGCTTCTTCGTTTTTTTTTCTCTATCTATTTATTCAGCTACTCATTTTGCATACACTATCAGCCACCTCTATGTATACTCGCATGTTACACTACCACTTTCTTGTTACGAAAGATGACTTAGTTCTGTCTTTATTTCGCACGCACAGTAAGAGAATCTTTATCTACATCACACACATCATCAAACGACGTTGTCGTCAATGTATATTTTTTTTTTGCATTGTTGTTGTTCTCTCTCTCTCTCTCTGTGTCGATTCTTACCTGTTTCGATTCGTACAAGAGAGAAAAAGAAATACAACAAGCCAACGCAGCGCGCGGATAAACTTTTTTATACTTTCGAGTATGTATGTGTGTGCTTCCTCTTACGAGTACGCATTTTTTTCTTTACATATTATCAATTTTTCCCTTCTTTACTCCATTTTGTAATAGACAAATGAAAGTAAAAAAAAAAAGAATGCATTGAATACATACGTCGTTTTCAAGGACGATGAGACCAAGCGTCACCAAGAATCGTCGACGACATTTTGCTTGTTCTTGCTTTTTCTTTTTTCTATCTGTCTATCTTTTTCGCCTTTTCTTCTCTCACTGCATGATTCGACTCTGCTTTCTTGTATTGTGTCCAAACAGCAGCAACAGCAGGTTTTCGTCCGTTTACTACTATATTGTGTCGTCCCTCTTCTTGTACATAACGCTTTACACATACAATACGATGTCTGTTCTTTCTTGCTCTTCCTTCTTCTTCCTCTCTCTCGTTTTTTTATTCAAAGAAAAAGCGAATACTGACTGACTGCTTTTTTTCTGTGGGACTTTTTATGTGTGTGTGTGTGTGTATATTTCTTTGTTTCGACTGCTGCTGCTTCTATAGCCTCCTTATTCCGATTACAATATGTATATATGTATGCATGTATGTGCGTATGTATGAAAAGAAGAACGAAAAGAGAAACATAATGATGAAAAAGAAAAAAAAAAAGAAATTGAGAGCAACACTTTTATGTTTATGGTTGTTGTTATTATTATTATGATTATTAGTGTTGTTAAGTGAACGCAAAAACATATAATCGATCATCATGCTTTAAAATCAAATCGACATCAAAATTGAAATGATTGTTCAACACTTGAATTTCTATTCATATATATTGAGTATCCTATTTCATAGATAAGGAATCTTGATAATTGATTATTAATTGAAAGAAAAATCAACAATCACCAAAAAGAAACCCACATCTGCTTTGAATGAAGGATGTCTCGTGATAATCAAACTTCATTTATATAATTGCAAAAATTTCTTTCATATTCAATATTATAATTATTTAACTTGGTCAATATCTTGACAGGTTATAAAATGAAATAATGAATGTTTAGTAATTGCAATTCATACTCATTCAGTTCGTATAGTACAAAAAGTTGATTCGTTTATTTAGATCGACGAATGCAAAATGAATTATCACTCTTTTTTAAACATATATTATTGAGAGCATTCTTGATCAATATCATACAATAAACAATCATGCTATTTTTTTTTTTTTTGTTGTTGAAAACTTGTCAGTATTAAAATAAGTACATAAAGAATAAGTTTCTATTTTATTATTCTGAAAGAAATATTTTAAAAGAAATCATTTTCATTAAAATCAAATTGAAAAACGAAAAAACTATAACTAATCAGATTAAAATTAATTCGCTCATAAATCGTATTTTTATATATTATATAATGGATTCAAGTCGAATTCACTTGAAGTCAACTTGTAGAACTTCATTAAATCATTATTATGTTCATTTTTTTAATACTGTCCTTGTACTATACAAATGTTATTCACTGTACGGCATTGTATGTTGACTGTCGTGGGTAGAAAATGTGTAATTCTTCAGAGTTAAATCTGTATATGGTGCCTTATGTGTAGTAATGGTAATATATCCTGCAGTTCTTTATTGAATAATTTCAAATATCAGAACATGAACCATTTCAGGCAAAAAAGGAATACCTACCTTTAATTCTTTATAAGAGTTGTTTTCCAGAATAAGTTCTTTTCAGCATAGACACATGTAAAAATGTTAGCTCTTTCAATTAACTATTAATTCAAATTTAAGACCCCCCCCCCCACCCAAAATTTTATTTTTGCCATAGAACATCGAATCTTAACGAAATTTTCAGAGTAGATGTATCTTGGACTGGGCACCTTG